CAGACACCTGAATTTTATTATACTTGTATTAAATAGTTTTTTAAGAAGTATGCATGCTGTATAGTATTCCCTTTGGCGAACAGATCACAATTCATCTAGTCTTTCATTTGGAATGTCTGGGTTTGCTTCTATTACAAGCAGTGCTACTAAGTATACCATTATTGGGGGCGCCTGGGTGGCTCAGTCGTTAAGCGTCTGCCTTCGGCTCAGGTCATGATCCCAGCGTCCTGGGATCGAGCCCCCGCATCGGGCTCCCCAATCTGTGGGAAGCCTGCTTCTCCCTCTCCCGCTCACCCTGCTTGTGTTCCCTCTCTCGCTATGTCTCTGTCAAATAAATAAAATCTTAAAAAAAAAGTAAGTATACCCTTATTTATGTCCACAGATGAAAATTCTTATCCACAAAATTCTTGTTCACATCTAGTTTCCCCAGGCACATGCCTACAAACACAGAGCACAAGTTATCTGACTCTGAGACAACGTCGCCTTGTTTGCCGAGACGGACAGCCCACTCCACACGCCCAGCAGCAACGAGCTGGTTACCACCAGATTGCTGACTTTTCATCAACCGAGTGGGTGTGAAAGAGCATCCCACTGAACTCTCAATTTGGATCTTTCGTCCATATATTTACTGGCCACATGCTGTTCTTCTCTGAAATGTCTACCCTTGTCTTGCGCCAATTTTTCTATCAGGAAGTCTTTTCCCTATTTATAGCTATTCTTTAAAAATCCTGGGTACTAAACCATTGTTGATTGTATGTGAGGCATATTTTTTTTTCTGGAGCCTTTTGATGAGAAATTTTAACAAAGACGAACATATCAATCTTTTCCACTATGAGTAATGTTTTTGGTATAGAAACCCTGAGTCAGAAACAGATACTATTATTATCTTTCAAGAGTTTAGAAGTTACTCTTTATCAACCAAGATGGAGTAATGGGAGTCCAATTTACCCTCACATCTGCAAAAACCAGAAGACTTAACAAAACACAGAACATGTGGAAAATGGTTTCTAAGACACTGAACAGGAGGCAATGAACAACTCAGACCTGAAAGACAGGACACAGCTGTGTGGGCCTCACACAGGCCTGTTCCCTTCCTCGACTGTCAGCAAAAATGCAAAAACTAAACAGATAAAAGTAACTTTACTTCATCCTAAGTGGAGGAAGAACCTGAGCAACAGAGTAAAACACTAAGCATGCAAGCAAGTAAAATTCATAATGTCCAGCATTCAAAGATTACCAGGTATGCAAAGCAGCAGAAAACATCCATATTGAGAATGGTCAATCAACTGAAACTGGTTCAGATGTTAGAATGAGCAGAGAAGGGTAATAAGAGTTATTACAGGGCGCCTGGGTGGCTCAGTTGGTTAAACGACTGCCTTCGGCTCAGGTCATGATCCTGGAGTCCTGGGATCGAGTCCCGCATCAGGCTCCCTGCTCAGCGTAGCCTGCTTCTCCCTCTGACCTTCTCCCCTCTCATGCTGTTTCTCTCTCTCTCTCTCAAATAAATAAATAAAATCTTAAAAAAAAAAAAAAAGAGTTATTACAGGGGTGAGTGGGTAGCTCAGCTGGTTAAGTGTCTGACTCTTGATTTCGGCTCAGGTCATGATCTCAGGGTCATGGGATTGAGCCCTATGTCTGGCTCTGTGCTCAGTAGGAAGCGTGCCTGAGATTCTCTCCCTCTGCTCCTCTCCCCTCCATGTGCGCTCTCTCTCTAAAAATAAACATGGGACGCCTGGGTGGCTCAGTTGGTTAAGCATCTGCCTTTGGTTTGGGTCATGATCCTGGGGTCCTGGGATCAAGTCCCACGTCAGGGAGCCTGCTTCTCCCTCTGCCACTCCCCCTGCTTGTGCGCTAAAGTATTAAAAATAAATATAAACAAACAAAACGGGCGCGTGGGTGGCTCAGTCGGTTAAGCATCTGCCTTCGACTCAGGTCATGATCCTGCTCAGCGGGAGGCCTGCTTCTCCTCCCTCTGCCTGCCCCTCTGCCTACCTGTGCTCTCTGTCCAATAAATAAATAAAATCTTAAAAAAATAAAATGAAAATAAATAAATCTAAGTAAAAGTTATTATAAATTCTAATTATCTTCCATCTCAAAAAAGCTACATAAGGGCACAGCATGGGAGATTTATAAAAGACTCAAACCCAACTTCTAGAGAACTACAGTGTCTGAGATTAGATGGTGCAGAAGAAAAGACGTGTGACTCGAAGGCACAGCAACAAACTACTGGAAAAGCAAGAGCCAGCTTCAAGTCGTCCGAAACCTATTTCACCAAAGCCCCCAGGAAAGATGGAGGAAGGGGACAGAGATGCTGCTGGAAGTAGATGACAACAAACCCACAGATGTAAGCTCAGCGGACCCCATACACAAGAGCCATAAAGAACATCACATAAATGTCCATACCTGCTAATCAAATCACTCACGATGAGTGATAAAGACAGCATCTTGAAGCAGCCAGGGAAAAAAGTCCACATTACATAAAGAGGACAAAGGCCAGGATCACTGCAGCCTTGTCAGAAACGGGCACATAAGAGCACAGTAGGGCAGCACCTTCCAAGTACTGAGAACGTCAACCTCCGAACGCCAAGACAAACGAGGAATTTTCAGATATAAAAAAGCTGGAAGAATCCATCAGCGGCAGATCTGCACTGCTATGTATGGGAAAGGCCACCCTTCGGGCAAAAGGCAAGTGATGGGACATGGGCCCACACAAAGGGATAGAAAGCACTAGAAATAACAACATAAGTTTACACGTAAGATTTTTAAAAATTACTTCAATCCCCTTAAGAGATAGGACTGTTTAAGCAAAATAACAATGCAACGCGGGTTTGTAATATGCAAATGTCCGTGCTGCAGGGAGGTATCCCAACGGCAGGCAGTGGGCAAACGAAGTGCCCTGTCACAGGGCCGTCTGCTCTACACCAAGTACAGAGTGTGGCAAGGATACTTGTGTTCCCTCTCTCGCTGTCTCTCTCTCTGTCAAGTAAAAAAAAAAAAAAAAAAAAACTAGCAGCAAGATGGGCAACCAAAACCTGGCCTGTCAGGAAACACATAAAGTGTAAATCCTCTCAACACCCCAAATAAGGCACACTTTCTCAGACTAGATAGAAACAAGTGCCCTTTACACACAAACAGCTTGTAAGAAGGATGGCGCAGGACACCAACTTTAGACAGAAGGGTGCACAAGAGCTGGGTCCGCATGGGACACAGTAGGCTGTGGAGAGTGTTTCCAGGGATGTACCTGTTTTTTCATAAGGATAAAGGCACCAACTCGTCAGGAGAATGTAACAACTCCACACGTTCACGAAGCTAACAGTACAGCTTCCGAAATACATGAAGCAAAACCGCAAAGAGATCGACAAACACAATTTGACAGCATCCTCAACACCCCCTCAGGCAGCGGAGCATACTTTCCTCAAGCACACATGGCCAGTTAGCAAGACAGACCCAACAATGGACATAAAACAGGCCTAGAGGTAAAATGATTCAAGTTGTACAAAGTATGCTTTCAGACGACAATGGATTTAGTCAGAAATAACAGAGTGCTCTCTGGAAAACCCCCAAATATTTGAAAGCTACATAATACACTTCAAAATAACCCAGAGATCAGGGAGAAATCAGAAGGGGAATTAGAAAGCTTTTTGAACTAAATGAAAATGAAAACACAACACATCAGGGTTTATGAGACGTGCTCTAGGAGCACCTGGGGGAAATTTACAGCAACGAAATGCTTGTATTAGAAAAGACAGATCAATGATCTCAGAAAATAGGAAATTAAACGCGAACAGATGAAATAAAAATGATCACAGCAATAATCAATGAAATGGGACACAAAGAAACAAAGAGAGAAATTAGTGAAACCAAAACATGTTAAGAAGACTTCTGATAAAACTCTAATCAGACTGATTAGGAAAAAATAGAGAAGGCACAAATTAGCAACATCAACAATGAGCAGATTCTACATCTATTAAAAGGCTAATGGAGAAATATTATAAACAGCTTTATGCCAGTAAATTCAATCATTCAGATGACACAGATAAACCGTTT